TGTTTTGCCTAAATATGTACTGCATAAAATAGACACCGCTGAAAAATATTTTAAATTAACGACGAAAGACACTGAACCCCAACCATCGACATCTTCTTCTTTTATTGAATAATTTTGAACTTATTTTTTATTCAATAACGTACAGTCACGAGCAATAATATGTAATGTAAACAACATAGAACTTTGTCACATTAAGCATTCCGAAATAAAACTCTGTGCCACAAAAGTCGACAACAAATACAATATATTATATTCCTATGTTGTTTGCATATTATTGCTCGTAATTGTACACAAGACATTTTTAACTCTCTTGTTGGAAATAATGGAAATAAAAATGATTGTCAGAAATTGACATTTTATTGTAATCTACCTAGTATCTACCTACTGTAACATTTATAACATAGCTACTTATAGCAACAACATATTGAAAAATAGTCTAGTAACTGGGTAAAGCTAGTAGATGGCAGCACTGAGCGTCAGTCAGTGTGAGTGCCAACGCCACACGCCTTGTACACGCTTTGTATTCCCAAGTTTTCGTTTATTTCGATGTTTTGAGTATTTGTTTTTCCTATTTTGCTATAGTTTTTTTTGTTTTTGTTGTTATGATACCAAAAATAACCAGAAAAACTGTTTTAAATAGCGAGTTTGTGATTCGTTTGCGTGACTATTTTGAACGTGAATACTTAAATGGCGGACCGATGTTGCCAGTGTCACAAGTGTGTCAGCAAATAAAGGATGGAGGAGATACATGAACGGAGGAGAATAAGTTATCGACTCCAAATAAAAATTAAAAGAAACTTTGCCCTGTAACTGACATAGACGATTTCGACACCGCAACAATTCGTAATCCTCACACACATCTACGCATAATACACACATAACGAGCTGGCATCATTAACAAAATTAGCAGTTTCTATGAAAGATGCAAATTTGTTCAGTGGCCCACCATCTTTATCAACAATATTAAAAAAAAATTGAATTCTTAAATTAATTAATTATAAATAGAGTAACAAAAGAAAAATTATTATGGAACGTAATGACATTACTCTTACACCCATTGATTTTTTACTAAAAGTTGATATATGTTGATAATTGGGATAAAGTATTCCTGAATGAAACATGGCTGAATTCAAACCACACGGTGTCTAAAACTTGGACTGATGACAGACCTGAATAGTCTACCCAGGTGCCTGAGAGCAAAGGTCAAAGGTTAATAATTTGCCGTGCCGGTACCTAATCTGGATTTCTACCAAATTGTTTTTTATCATTTAAGTCTGTCAAGAGAACGATGTATCACAAAGAGATTAATATTAAAAAATTCTTTGAATGGTTTATAAAACTTCTAAATAATTTAGATGAAACCCATGCAAATTTGTTCAGTGGCCTACCATCTTTATCAACAATATTTAAAAAAATTGGATTCTATTATAAATAGAGTAACAAAAGAAAATGTATTATGGAACGTAATGACATTGCTCTTGCACTCATTGATTTTTTACTAAAAGTTGATATATGTTGATAATTGGGATAAAGTGTACCTGGATGAAACATGGCTAAATGCAAACCACACGGTGTCTAAAACTTGGACTGATGACAAACCTGAATAGTGGTGAACTGCCTGAACCAAGGTGCCTGTGGGCAAAGGTCAAAGTTTAATAATTTGCCGTGCTGGCACCTAATCTGGATTTCTACCAAATTGTTTTCTAGCATTCAAGTCTGTCAAGAGGAAGATGTATCACGAAGAGATTAATTTTAAAAAATTCGATGAATGGTTTATAAAACTTCTAAATAATGTAGATGAACCCCATGTGAGACTAAAGGACACCGCGTACACACCGATAGGTTGACAAACGAGCACACAGTCAACCTGATAGTACGTGGTTGCTGTGGCCCATAGATATTCTGTGAGAGCGTGGTCCTTCCCCGGTCGAGCCGATCTATTCGTGTCGCCACCCAGAACATAGAACGACACAAGTTAGCCGTCAGAGCCGGGGCCCGCCACCCGCTGCTCGGACGGCCGTTAGATAACTCACCCACGTGCACTGTATACTGTCATAGGAGTTATCGTTACGCAAGTAACGATGCGGAATGATTCAAATTCACTTTTTTACTTATGAAGCTGTATAAGCCAAAAGGATAACAGCATTAACATCATCAGAAACCCGACTAATGGATAATACATGGTGCATTCAGTTCAAAAAAATAAGCCTCCGACAGCGAATAACCGGAAGAATTAAATAATTTCGTGGTTGCAAACCAATGCAGTAGTATAAGCCGACGGCACTATGTTGAAAAACGAACTTTTGCTTTTAGTGGGCAACACTAGCCCCAAACGCCAATATATGCTTTGGACGAGATGGCAAAAGAATAGGGTCATACCGTTATCTGCCTGCCACCGTATTATCGCCAGTATAACGATTGATTTGGGCGCAAGTTAAATGTATAAATTAAAAATAAATTCTCTTTATTTCAGGCACCCATATAAATTACCAACAAAAAAAAGACAATGCAGTACAGAATAACTAAAAAATTAAAAATAATTATATTATAATAATATCTAAGTCTAAATGGAGGGAATCATCACGTCAAGCAGCTATCTTATGCCATTTTTGATAAAAGGCTGTGGCCGGCAGTCTTTCCGCAAACTCACTATTAAATTTGCTGAACAATGTATAATGTTCAGCGAATATGAACATGAACATGTAACATCAAATGATTGGAAGAAGGTGGTCGATAAAACGCGAAGAATTATCACAGAAGATTGACAACGTGATGTCCGCTTTGATTATTTGTGTGATCAGGAATTAATCATTAATCTTGAAGATTGTTCCAGTGACTCTGATTCTGATGATTATGATTGTGACTTAGGATTTTTTTTTTACTTTCTTAGCCCAAAGTGAGTCCCAATGTTTAAATGTTTAGCCTCATTTACATTCAGCCACTGCTCCTCACGCTGCCGGCCGTAGCAGGGTCGCGGGAAGTGTGTATTTACACTCTGCCTTACCACTCACATCACTTTCGGCTTTCGACTATGGCAGACGTCGAAATAATTACAGCGTCCTCGCTGTGTCTTCTTGCAATACAAAATTATGTTAATAATTTAAAAATATATCAAGTTTAAGGGAAGATACATAGATAGATAGAAAACTTATTTGCTTAAAAACATGGTACATAAGATGATCAATGACGTGGAACTGACATGTTTTGCCATAATTGGCATGCAAAAATGATATGAAATTACACAAACCCAATGTTACATTTTAAAATTATTGCATTGCTTATAAGTTAGGTACAAACATTCTTTTAGAATTCAAATATTATGTACAATTAAATATATAGATATACAGATCCACTCTATTTGAATTCTTATACAGTAAATTGTTCATAAATTATTAATTGAATTATTACATTATTGTTACATAAATAATATTAAATATTATATGAGATTAGTTAAGCTATTATTATTTTAATAATTACACTATAGTATAAATTAATTCATAATTTTAATTACAATAAAATTGATTATTTATAATTTATATTAGGGTTAAAATAATGTTTACATCAATTATAATAAAAAATTATTTATTTTATTTTGTTTTAAAAAGTACAGTCCTTAAAAATATTTTTAGGATTAATAAAAGTCGTAAGCCTGAAAAGTATGAAAGAGCGTTCTTTAATTTTTCTTTACTACTTTATTTTATTTTAATCTAAAATACGACATATTACGAAACAATGTTCGTATATAGCACGCGGTCTATCCAATGAAGGACATGTAATATAGCGTGCTCCGAGATATAGCGTGCTGCTAAATTTAACGCGCCTTCCGGCCTCCTACACTTTTTTATAAATAGCGCGCTATAACATAGCGTATTTAATAGCGCGCTAGAAATTTCTAATTTATAGTCTGTAGCGTGCTATTTATTTATAGTCGTTTTGAACAACTTTAATGTGAACACTCACTGCCGCTCGCGCTGCCCGTCCTTTGACTTCCGCACGAAAAACCGACATTTGAGGGATCGTCGGGCAGTGGCAGCGGCAGCGGCAGTGTCAGCGCGAGTAACCTGTTTGTTGTTAGCCCACTGCCCCGCTCACTTCCTTGCCCAACAGGGCTGAATGTAAATGGGGCATTTGGTTAAAGAGTATTGGGTGCATAATTTTATTAATATTTATGAATATTTTATCAATATATCGATTTAATGTCCCTAGCACTAGTCACATGAGAATGACAGCTGTCAATTGTACAAGCTGCAATCTAAGTCTGCCGCCTATGAGGATCTCTTGGAAATACGTAAAAATCAAATCCATAACAGAAAAATTACAGCTTATTATAACACTTTATTATAAAATCTAAACAAAAACTAAAAACTGGTTTGGCCGACAAACCCGAATGGTTAACACACTTTTTGTGTAATGATTATTGAAAATAAAAATTTCTGTAAAATAAACACATCAACAGAATCTAGGGATATTTCATATTTTATTAAATATCTAAAAGTCTATGAAGAATTTTCTGATATAGTAAATAGAAGAATAATAGCTTATTTTAAGAAATTTAATAAAAAATAAAAAACATTTCGTATTTTTGCTTTTTGTTTTTTTTTTTCGTAATAAATTTGTATGATTAAAAAACTTCATTTCTACGAATACGAATCGAACCACCCACTTTTGGTTCTATTATAACGAGCTTCACCTGGACGTCCTTCGACCCACTGACTCCATAAGGCCTCGGACTTATAAACGACATATGGCGGCAATACCTTGCCATCTGCGGTTCGACCAAACATGACTGAAATACAGCTCTTTGTACTGTTCATGATTCTCTCTGGGTATTTCACTCCGCAACGAAATATACATTTAACGGAACCTGGGTTGTCGCTAAAGTTGGTCTCATCGTAATTTAACAAATGAGTTGGAGGAACGTTTTTCACTACATGTTCAAGGTTTTTAAAGTAATTTTGAAATTCTGTTAAAGCTTTTTCTACTCGTTCCCTTTTAATATTTTACACAGATCTGATAGTTAACTTATCACGATGCCGTTCTATGAATGCTCTGGCCCACCATTCTCCAGGTAATTTTCCGTTAAAAATAAAAGCTTTATTATTTTTCAATAGGTATTCATTCACTAGTATCCTAAGATCCAATAGTGTTAGAGGAAGACCGTAGTCTGCGACTACAATAAGAACTTTAACAAAATTCAATTCTTCCTGTTCGGTTAGTTTTTGCGGAGATCCTGGTTTATTCATATGTTTTTTTTTACTTTTCTTTTTATTGTTCTTCGAGGAATACCGTAAGTTTTTGCGGCATCATAGGATAACATTTTTTTTTATTTTGGACCTTATCGACTGCTAGTGATAACATTTCGTCGCTATAGTTTCTGTATTGTCTTGCCCCAAGTTTCCCACGATCTCGTTTTCTTGATGGCATTTTATCCTAAAATAAATAGAGGTATATGCATAGGTAAAATAAAGTTGACATCCTCAAGATCAAGGAGCCGAGGTTCGCATAGTGTAAGATTGTTTTGGAATTTCATCAGTTGTTCAGCACATGTGTTTCTAGGATAGGATACCATGTTGTAAGTGGAACTTCCATCAAGTACGTAATCTGGTTTGCTTTCATGTAAGCTTTTATAACAATAGTTCTTTCAATCTTCTCTAAATTCTCTACATTTACAGGGTACACTAGGTTAGCGACTTTGGCAATATCATTAAGTATCACTAACAGTTCAGATGAATTAATAATTGATTGGTGTAATACTGTAACTTTACTAAAAGCTAAAGTAGTTTCTATTTCACTAAGTTTAAGGTATATACTACGAAAGTTACTAATAAACATATTATACATGTCTAAAATATAACGTGTTATAAATTGAATTATTTCTTTGGTAGCTATATATTTTACTATTCGTTCAATTCTTTTTAAGCGTTCATCTAATATAAGTTCATTTTCATGTAAAGTTTCTGTACTATTTGCCAAGCTATTCAGCATTTTAGAAACAACGGTGATTTTACTATCAACACTTTATTGGTTGTTCTTTAATTAATTAAATTTAGGTATAACGGAATCGTTTCTAAGAGCATCTTCGTGATCTAAATTGCCGATGATTGCTTTAATGACTGATCCTAAGGGATCTATGAGACCTCTTTTAAATCTATTGGATGGTACAAGTTGCTTGAATTTTTCAATAGTTAAATCGCAAGACTAGTCAGCTTGGGTTTTCATGGCTTGGAATTCATAAGCGTAAGGTTTATTAATATCCACTAACCTACTAAAATCTTTAAACTTAATAATATTTAAATCTAAATTTTCCTTAATTCCTAATAAGTTCACTTCTTTAACTATAAGCCACCTGCTTGTTTGCCTAAAAGCTTGGCCTTCTTTTACAGGAAGCAGGCCTGGGTTGCTGTCGATTTTTTGAAGTTGAAGACTGCGGGTCCAAAGTATACGAGCCATAGTCAGGATGGCCATGCACCACCTGTGGAGGTCGTTTGAAATTTTTAATAGGGACCTTTGTATCCTGTTCACCTATTTTAACAGGAACGATATTACATTCTGCAGGACCTTGAATAACAGCTTTCCTGTAGCTAGGTTTGTCCTTACTTTTCCTAATATTGATGTCCTTTACGTACGCTACTTGCCCTTCGTTGAGTACTACCTTAAGCTCTCGCATTAGTTCATTGTGAAACATTTTTCCAGGGTCGCAAGTTATCTTTTTAGGTACACCATAGAATGAAAAGTACTTTATAAGGGCTCGAACTATCTCAGGTGTGGATCTATTTGAGATTTCAAATGCTTGACACAATTTGCTAAAAGCATCGATTAAGATAAGAAAATATTTATTTTCTATAGAAAAAAAGATCTATGAAAACTTCCTGAAAAGGAGAATTCTGGGTCTGTGTTAATTGCAAAAACGGTTTAATTGGTTTTCTATCATATTTCGAAATTTTGCAGGCATGACAATTATTAATTACAGCTGAAACTGTTTCCTGCATATTATCCCAAAAGTAGTTCCTACGTATGCTTAACATGGTTTCCTTTATACCACGGTGACATGTTTTATCCTCGAGATGTTTTAGGATTATTTCCCTCTGTTCGGCCTCGTCTTCAACGTATACGACACGTTCTGTACACTCGAAGAATTCTACAGTGCCCTTTTTAAATAGTTTTTGATAATTTTGGAAAATTGTTTTCGATGTTATTCGCCCCCAAAGTAAATGAAGTATTTAATCTTTGGTTTTACATATTCTTTTAAAAATTGTTTATTTAAGTTTTCGTTATTGATAGGTAAGAACACTTCTAAAATTTTGTGCTTTTTATTTGAAATATCTTTGACTTGCATTTCATTCCTAAAATGAATACAAGTATTCGATTAGGCTTAGTATCTACAGCTTCCCTTAATATAGGTATACCTGTAGATTCTAATTCTAACGCTGAGTGTACTGTTTCTGTGCTAATTGATGGTACGGGATAAGTTTGTTCTGTTATATCTATTAGTTCAGATGCTGAAAGAGTTGCTGATAGGTCAGACACAGTTATTGTATCGGAGTTCTCATTTGGTTTATTAAGCTTTGCTATGCGGTAAATTTCGTCGGTCAAGCTGTCGACATAGTTTATAAGGTTTTTGTCTGTATCTTCTACGTTTACTTGCATCGAATCAGTGTCATCGTTGGAATCTAATACGTTTAGTTTGATACGACATAGGGCATCAGCGAGTTTCGGGGGTTTTGTTGAGATTTTTATGTGAAAATTTTCAATATTTTCCGTCGTTTTAATATTATTCGTATCTGCCACGTTGATCTTAGTTTTCGCGCTTACAGTTTCTTCGGATTGATATTCGGGGTAATAATAAGAAGCGTCATTAGGATCTTGATCAAAATAATATGGGTTTTCGTAGTAATACATGTCATCATTATAATCATTCTCGTTTAATTCTAATTCATTTAACCTAAAACCTTGCTGCGGTCGTGCTACAGGTGCTGTGCGCATCGACACATCTGTATTAGTTCGCGGTTGGTTACGCTGAGGGGCATTACTATTATTATTGTATCGCTGTTGCATACCAAACTGTTGAGGACGCATCGAAGGTAAAGGCTGAAGGCTACAGGTCTATAGCCAACTTGAGTTGGACGATATCCGAATTGCATTTGGTTGTTATTATGTTGTGGTGGTTGATAATAGTTTCCGAAACTGTCGCTGCTGACCTTGAGTGGGAAGCGGTATCTGTACCTGCTTATTCTGTGGTATGCCAAAATTATATCTAGGTGGTTGGTTCATTTGCATAGGCTTAAAACTAGAAAAATGTTGAGGTTGAGTGTTATTATTACCGAATTTAAATGATGGCGATGCGTTATGCGATTGTGAATGAGATGCGAGATTAGATCCAGACATTTTGTTTCTCATTTGGTACTGACTATGGAAGTTAACTTCTTCTAATACAGTGGAGAGCGCATCCTCTAATGAATTTGGAGCCTTGAAACGTACTAATCTAACTAAATGTTCCGGTAAATTGTACAGGAAAACGTTTAATGATGTATTGTCATAAATAGCCTTTTTACTACAGCGCATATTTGAGTCCGACATCGATTAACTTTGCCTATTAAAATTGATCTCAAAGATTGAATTCGACAGCAAAAATCTAAATAACTTTCTCCGGGTTTAATTCTTAAGGTCTCAAGTTCGATACTTAAACACTCTTCACTTCGCGAGTCTCCAAAATGCTGAACTAAATATTGTTTAAACTCATCCCACGTTACGATATCATCGCGCTCACAGACTAATGTAGCAGCATTGCCGATAAGGTGGCTTGTTATTGTACTCATCACGTACAAATTCTGTTCCGTCGTGCCATTAAATTTAGCTATAACATATTCACACATTCTTAAAAATAGATTTAAATGACGTTTATCTCCATCAAACGTAGGGATGATTTTAATCATTTCACCGGGAATAAGTCTGATATTCTCCATAATTATGTATTAATTTACACACACAAACAATAAAAAAAATGTAAAAGAAATCTAAATACTTAAATATCACACAAAATTATTAAGAAATAAAATATATATGCTTAATAAAACTATTTCTTTGTAAAACTATAATTTATATATAATTTGTAAATTATGAAAATAGGTGAAACTTAAATTATTTATTACATACACTTATTTATTTAATTTTTTAACTATTTACCCAGAATACGTTAAAATGAGAGAAGTTCGATCTCAAGATAACAGAACGTCGAGGTAGTTGAAAGGATGGTGAAAAGTTCTACTCACCAGCCACCAGCTGGTTCAGGATCAACTCCGCTTCCTTGACAAATTTCTTTGGTTCGAGGATCGTCTCGGTTTTCCTTCGCGCCGCGGACCTCCGATTACGACAGAGTTTTATATCGAATTCGCGAAGGACGCAACACCACCGAAGTGTGATAATCCTACCGGCTGCGCCAGTCAAGATTACGGGAACGTGAAATGATTTTTTAAAAACTATTTTATTTCTTAATACAATTATAATTATAACTAACTTATTACGTCAAAAGTCATCAGAACAAGTGGCCCTCCCATGAGCTCTGCCTGATACCTCATGCAACCAAAAGCGCTGACTCTACAGTTACTGGATACTGTCTAATGCTTCTGCAGCCCCCTCTAAGTACGAACCGTAACAACTCTATGGTCTTGTGGTTGCATAACTACCTTTTCTTTGTTTTGTTTGTCATTCGCCTATACGCGCGTGACTGTTAGTTGGCAAAAATGATAATCGTTTAATATTACATGTTTTGTCACATCACACGGTGGTCCTAGTGCAACATAATCATAATCATTAACATAACATATCAGGGATCAAATACAACTTACAATCTCAGCCGCGTAAGCGTGTAACACAACCTTTGTTTTAATTTCTAAGTATGTTCATGGGAACGTTTTTTCGATTACGTTGTATAATGGAACCAGTTTTAACAATGCATTAAAATGATATCGTAAATAAAATGAATTTAGCTCTCCCAATAGTTTGTACCTCTAAATGTAGATTGTTACATACGATTTTAAATTCATTTTGTAAAAGTATTATACTTTTACATAGTTACATTAACAAAAAATCAATAATTATAGTTCATAAAAGATAGCTTGATCTCTGCGACAGCTGCCTCTACTATACCTCAGTAAAAGTCACGCCTATGAAGTCCTGAATTTCTTAGTAGTACAGACACAGACAGTAGCTGTCAATGTCATACTTTATGGGCATGTCGGCATGCCCATAAAGTATGACATTTCTTAGTAGTGCTGTCTGTACATCTTTTATGAACTATAAGTTATTTATAATTTCGAAAACTCATTTTTTCGTAGACATGAAGAAAACTACTAGGTACACAGCTCAAGTTTGTTTTACGAAATATTTATTAACATTGAAAAAGGCAATTTTATTTCAAACAGATAACAATATTTTAGGTTCCGTTGTCTTTTATAAAGAAAAAACGTAAAAAGAATACATACATTAATAAATTTATAATAATAGTGTATCGATAGACTCTGGACTTTATTTTATAAGCAAAATATAAACCAAATATAGTTTAAAATCTACAAATTTTACATAAAAACATATGACAAAAAAAGAAATTCCAGTAGAGTTGTTGTAAATCCTATACCTATAAACGAGCAATTCTTGTATATAATATATAATCGGAATCTCGGAAACGGCTCCAACGATTTTCATAAAACTTAGTATCCAGGGAGTTTCGGGGGCAATAAATCCATCTAGCTAAGATTTATTTTTAGAAAATGTGTAAAAGCGTACCTTGGGTTGTGCGCACAACCTTAAGGTCTACTTTAAGTCATTAAAACGACTCCAACAATTGACATGGAGGAAAACTAAGTTCACACGATGATTCAATGAAGGATATGACCTCTATGTACCATTATTAAGGGTAACAAATTTAGGACTTCTCTGGTCCCTAACAGTACTAATATGAGTAAGCTCATGTACATAACTTGAACTGAAGGTATTGTTCCCTAGTACCCGTTACGCCCGATTTTATCATCCAATCACTGAAACATGGCTGCTCGAGGACTGTATGTTATAACAGTGATGGATGTTCCCGTATCTCTCCATTACCTATTTATTAAGGTCAATTATTTTCTTTTATATATTATATTCTTTCCATGCGTAATTTTTGCTACTAACGGCTTCAATACTACTATTTTAAGCATCATCAAATATTTGGGTGATCAGTCCAATATTGACGAAACTTAACCGCTCAATTATTCGTATTCCCATTTTTAAACATTTCTTTTTTTCGTTCCTCACACATTTTAAATACATCCTTGCTAATTTTTGTACAAAATGGGATAATATTTTTTCAGTCAAAGTTTAACTCAGTTAAGAAACATTACTATTAAATCTCTCTTAGGCCGGCGACGTACATACTTTATAGTAGAATAGCATTTTTCTAGTCAGTTTCCCTTTAATTTTTATTATGATGTGTACCCTATTTAAGATTATGTTGGTGTTACGTACCTGTATATGTTATTGTTATTCTATGGAGTGTAGAAGTAAGGAGTACAGACTGTGTATTAAAAAGTGTACATAGAAAACCGTTAAATAAGGATGGCGCCACTAAAACTACGGGGTAAATTTTAAAGAACGCACCGAAAAATATTAGTGGGATAGACGTCTTTTTCGAGGTTATATTTACTAAATAAAGTTATTATAGATTTTACAGCTACTGAGCAGTTTAGCAGCACACTTAAACCGTCGACAACTGCTAAGTTCATTTCATCCCAATAGCTAGTCAAGCGCTGTTGTGGAGAGATTTTTGAACTGTTATTTACTGCTTATAGATGGCCACTTTTTCAACTATTCTACTACCTATGTGAGTTGGTACTCTACTTCTACTTACTTCTACACTCCATATTATGTTATTCTTTATTAGGAGAACTTATACGATAACGACGTTCTTTGTCATAAATGTATTTTTTTTAATATTATTTTATATAAAATTTGAGATAAGGAATTAATAAATTTGACATAAAAACAGAAAAAGAAATGATAAATATATGTAACATTTATAACTTATAATATATAATGATTGACAAATTAATTATTATAACAAGTATATGACATTGAGCTGTAATCTTTAATTATATACCTGTCAAATCGAAGGCTATAATAATATTCTTACGTTGGGGCGACTCCCCAACCCCCGCTAACGACGCCACAGAGCGCCAATCCTCACGAAAGAGGAAGCCGAGGAACAGGAAGAGGAAGACGTCGTAGCCTCTTCTTCAGGCTGTTACCTTTACCCCAACACCAGCGGTACCGATAACCTCACAGGCGCAGGTTCTCAGAGGAGCACCGAAAGACAAAGAGGATAGAGCGTCAGAAAGGGCCCTATCTAAAAATAGAGCCCGCTCTTCACAAAGAGCGCGCTCTACTCAAAGAAGAGAGCCAGCTATCAACGCCCTGAGACCAGTACCTTCAAATATACACAGACCACCACCAGCAGCCAGCCTTGAGAGAGCTGATGCCATCCAAAGATTGGTAGGCATAGCTATCGAGGTCGGCACTCAATTCCTGGCCGACATCCAGGCCGGTACAAAGCCAGTAACCGCCGTTATGAAGGCGCTGGCGTCGCTACTGGCACGGCATTACGGAGGACAGAACCCTGCGACTCCTCTATTGGAACCCGGACGGGATACAACAGAGGATTCATGAACTCCGCACAGTCGCCCAGCAACAGGACAGGGATCTTGCTGGTAGAGACCAAATTAAGACTAACAACGCATCTGAAGCTGCCAAATTATCACACCTACAGGCAGGACGAAGTCAAACCTCAAGGGATGGCCTACAGAGGGATGGCGATTCTAGTGAGGAGGGACATCGTCTATCAAGAGCTGGACCTGCCAGATTTCCAG